TGTGTGTGTATATGTTTATGTATATGTATATATATATATATATATTCATCTTCTTTCAATATTGCTTTATTTCGCAAGGGAGCCGTATTGAGCCTGAAGAGGAAGAATCCCAATCACAAGCCACATGGATGGATACACAGAAACATTCAGAGGCGCACGTCAACGATGGAGGTATACACAGAGCAACATTATTCTATACACTTAACGTCCTTTCTTTGCTTGTATGTACGTGTATGTATAACTATATCTAATGTGCACTATACCTCGTATCATATATTGTCTATCTCAACTAAGGGAGCGTTCGTGACCGCAAGAAAGCGATGACCCATTTGCGTAAGGCGTATATGCTTGGAGCCAGAGAAGAAGCGCTGTTATGTTTAGAACTGAGACTGTTAGAGGAGACGGATGATGAATCGGCTATGGAGACACTACTGCTGAAGTGGCTGAACTCTTCCCCCGATAGTCCTTTTGTAAAACGGTATGTCCCGTCACTCGTACATATGATCGGATTCCTAGTCTTTATACGTATTTTCTTCATATATAAATATATATATATATAGTGATATCTATTTCTGCTATTTCCCTACCAGCCCATCGTATGCCTTTCCTTACTTGCGTATTCCCATGTACGTACTATAGGCTGTGGTACGTGTTTCTCACCAACTACGCTGTAGAGGCTGATGAACCGGACATAAGCGCTGCAATGCTTTCGCTGGTCCATTTAGATCCCACTGACCAGTGCCTGGCCAATGCGGCAGAGGTGTACGAGGAAGGTGTGTGACGAGAGCCGTGCCGTATCCAAGCACGTTGCTATGCGGGCTGTGTGTATATGTGTGTGTGTGTATATAAGTAAGGTGACAGGTGTTGTCATGGATGTGTGTATGTATGTGTATATGTAAAGGTATACAATTTGCTCTGTGGCTCTCATTCATCTGTGACAGTTAGAGCCCTCCAATGTGCCTGAGAAATGTATTATGAATTATACAAGCATGGGTATGATTGCTGTATGCACGTATTCATATACGTGACAGTATGTGTATGTGTGCAAGCCCGGATGTGTGTATGCGCGTAAGCGTGTGCGAGTTTTAGGGCTATGTGGACACTTGGACCACTGGCCCCCATAATCAGGTTTCTGGACCGGCACGCATTGCATTGTCCTGAACATAACATATGCTTATCCCAGGCGACCTGTCCTACAAGCGCTGGTGCAAGGGCTATGTGGACACTTGGACCACTGGCCCTAATAATCAGGTTTTTTGGACCGGCACACACTGTATTTTCCTGAACATAACATATAGCTTGTCCCAGGCGTTGTCCCAGGCGACCTGTCCTGTAAGCACTGGTGCAAGGGCTATGTGGATACTTGGACCACTGGCCCTAATCATCAGGTTTTAGGACCGGCACACACTGTATTGTACTGAACATAGCGCGTAATTTGTCCCAGGTGATATATCGCTAGCCACGCTGGTGACGGTGTTGTGCACCCGCTTGGACCACTCCCCATTCCACCAGGACGTCAAGTTGTGGACTCAATTGGCTGATTCGCTCGAGGAGAATTGGTAGGAGGAATGTGTGGTGATTACTTGTGTAGGGTGTACTTGTAGGTATTCGTTTACTGTGATTGGTATGTATAGATGTTAATTAAAGAGACCTAGTTGGATATGTGGTGTATGTGTACGTGCTTATGAATGGCCATACTTATATACGATATTTTTATATCTATTCTTCTACTGTGATTGACCTGTATAAGTGTTGTTTAACGAGACCTAATTGGATATGTGGTGTATGTGTACGTGCTTATGTATGGCCATACTTATATACGATGTATTTATATCTATTCTTTAACTGTGATTGACCTGTATAAGTGTTGCTTACCGAGACCTAATTGGATATGTGGTGTATGTGTACGTGCATATGTATGGCCATACTTATATACGATGTATTTATATCTATTCTTTAACTGTGATTGACCTCTATAAGTGTTGCTTAACGAGACCTAGTTGGGTATGTGGTGTATGTGTACGTGCATATGTATGACCATACTTATATTCGATGTTTTTATATCTATTATTCTACTGTGATTGACCTGTATCTTACTGCTAACCCACACTTTTCGTTGCTGCTGCAATTCCCCTTTGTGTTTTACATCATGTCATTTCTATGCACCAATATTTGAACCACATGCGCGACACACAACTGCTACACTATACTTAAATGCACTGCAATCCTTCTGGTTATATGTATATACTAGTATACTATACCTAAATTGCTTCCTGGGAACCACCCACTTACCACTTACATGCTTATAAGCCTTATACGTATATATACACACCAGATGGCTATGAACATATCTTACCCTATCTCTCACTCACCTACCACTTACATGCTTATAAGCCCTATAATTTTATATAGACACTCGTTGGCTATATATATATATGTATATATATATATATATATATATATCATACCCTGTCTCTCATTCACTTATTATCTGCATGCTTATAAGCCCTATACTTGTATATAGACACCAGTTGATTATATAT